ATATATATAGATAGATAGATATAGATATATAGTGATTTAGTATTTTCTATTCCCATTGAATTATCCAACTGTCAATGGATAGGTGAATAGATGAATGAATCAACATAAGTGAAATACAATTAGAAAAAAGGTAAACAAATCATGAATTACCGAAAACATTCATACATGTTTTAGGCATAGTTACTTTGTATAAATACAAATTTGTATGGGAAATTCATTCTCTATACTGTTGAACTTAGGATTCTTTGTTTATCTTCTATGTAGTGTATAATTGAATATAAATCAATTGAAAGAATAGTAAAGATTTTATATAGTGATTTTAATGGTTGAGATCATAAGTCCATTGAAGTTAGACTGTGATGAAAAACTAGGAAATATTGGTAGGCCATTTCATTCTATTATGGGACTCTTCAGCAGTGCACATTCATGGTCCCACCATCCAGTGCTTCCAGATATTCCATGATGATCTAGCTTCAATTGACTCATGATCTCAACCATTGAAAGATCCCGTGAGCGGAATCGTGAACACGCACTGCTGAGGAGTCTCACAATAGGACGAAACGGTTGTGCAATGCTTCCAGGTTTCCAACGGTGGTCTAACACCAATCTGTTCATGATCTCAATTGAAAAAAGGTTTTTTGTTTTAAAATAGTTGAATTCACTGTGGAATACTTGGAAGTAATGGATCGTTGTTTTGTCTTAGTATAGAACTCCGTAGCAGTGCGCATCTATGATCCAGCTCGCAAGTTCCGAACCTAGGACATTCAGCCTCACAAGTGAATGCTTAACTTGTAGATTACTAAGTTGACATCCAGTGGTGTGAATGTCTAAATTTAACCAATCCAGTTTTTTTATGTATGCAGTGATATGTTGTAAATATTCACAACTATATTTGATTAGTCGGTGAGACTATAATTAATGAACGAACCAATCAGACATAAGATAGCAGATCTTGTATTTTGGCGCGGAATCCATTCAACCATTTGACTTAATAGAGTTTTAGCATTATAGTTAATGTCAGTTCATGATGAAAACTCTAAATCTAGTTGTTAACCCTAACCATCAACTGTAAATGTTAATCCTAATTCTTCAAACTGGTTTATAACCCTCATTTAGTCATGGTATGTAGGTGGACATTCTCGTGGTCTTTTTAACGTCACTCAAAGATCGTCCATAAATTATAGTTTCACGGAATATTCTTTGTTTTTCTAGTCTAAGGAATATATTTACTGTTTTATTATTAGGGAAACAAGATAAATTTTTCAATACTAGTGGAATGAGTGAGTGGTGAGAATATGGGTTTAAACATTTGACTTCTAACTGTTTAACATCTACGTTGATTGAGGAGACAATTTTCATCCCGCATACGGGATTCAAACTCAGGACCTCCAGCCTTCCACGCGAACACTTAAACTCTAGACTACTGAGCTGTGACCAGTGGAGTTCAATCTGTGTCGGGTAGAGACATGTACCTACCTCAGACAATGGATGAATGGTTGAACAAGATCATAGATCTATTGAAATTAGACATTAACATCATTGGATGTTGGCTCAATGATATAGAAGCTAGGCATTAGCGCATGAGAACGTGGGTACTGGGTTCGAGTCCGTTCAGTGTGAAATTAAGGATGTGAACTGTTGAGAAGTTATATACTGGAACGAAACGCTTGTCGAGTAATCCAAGGTTTTCAATAATTGTCTAGTGTATATCGACTCATGAATTCAACTATTAAGAATGAAATGATACTCAACCAGTAGTTACGTAACATAGTAATTATATAATGACACATTGATTATAAATTAACACTGAATAATTAGAAGAGGATTATAATAGTCAAGGTAATGATTTAGAAATCAAGCAGTTGCCACGTTACATAATTTATAAAAAGAACCAATAAAATATTTCGATGAGAAGTCAATCTCACAGTAGTTATGTAAGAATCAAGGTATGAATGTTGAGAATATGTAAAGTGGAAGAAATTCAGATATAGTTTATCAATATTCTGTTACCAACTCACTCCTATACCTGTATCTAAGGTAACGAAAGTGATTGTATAAACTTGTTTTCGATGTAAAGGTTTGGTTTTGTGAATATGGATTCCAATGACTTCAGCCATGTGCAAAAGACTAACTTGTAGAATATAGTTGATAACCTAAAAAGCTTTATTTAAGTCAACTTGATGATCTGTCTCCACTATCAAGTAAGCGAGAATAGAACTATTAATCATTCTTACCTGTCCTTTGCTCAATCAGAACGAATAGTGTTCTTCTATATGATGATGGACTTGTCAAATTGTACGCTTTATACAACTGGCCCTGCAGGAGCAGTTGAATCGGTAAATACACATGGATGTAGCGTTATGTTTTTTTGTCAGCGGTTCTTATTATGGGACAGTGGTATGGATGAATAGTATTAAATGTATTAAGTTAATTATCCTTGTAATGTTCTTTTCCTAATACCATGAAAGTATCATCTATATAGTAACAGTAAGATGTCAGATGACTGATTGTGTCCTTAAGTAGTCCATTTTCTAGTTTTGCAAGAAAAATGTCTGCTTGTAGAGGGGCCAATGATGACCTCATGGTTACACCATCCAAATGTCCGTGGTATTCATTATCAAATCAAAAAATGGACATTCATCATGGATCTAAGAATTAACTGTTTTATTGCAGATAACGGAAATTTCCGGAATCCAGCGGTGTTAATGTCTAACTTCAACTAATCCACAAAATTGAACAACATATTCATCATTGTCTTCAGTGAGTTACTATCTCACAAAAGACACGGTTGAACTCTACTGGTCACTGCTTCTCACTAGAACTCCAGGAAATACCTCATGAAACCAATCACTAGTGGGCACATGATGATTATTATCAGAAGGGATTTTGTGGCGATTTTTGTAATTTTATCGTTGAATTTATGAGTCAACCGAAGTTAAACCACAATGGAAAACCTGGAAGTACTGGACGGCCGTTTCGTCCTAGTATGGGACTCCTCAGCAGTGCGCATCCACGATCCTGCACCCCCCCTGCGCGATTACCAATATGGAAAACTTGGAAACACTGAATGACATTCATGAATTCAACTATTAAAAATTACTACAATCTTTACAAACCCCCATACTGATTTTTTTTTAAAAATTAAACAATCCAACTCAGTAGGGGTTAGTTAGTTTGTTGTTGTTATCGTATGTTTTTTTTTTAGATGACCATTATTTTTCAATCAAGCCTACTGAGAAGAGTTTTACTTCTCTAAAATGTATAACAAAAGAATAACACAATGATGATATACATTAATGTGAACATGTATTAATGTATGTGTGTGTGTGGGTCTGTGTGTGTGCTTGCACATATTCTATTATTAATCTTATCTACATTTGTAATCCTGGTAATAAGTTTTACATCATTCATAGACTGTCTAACTAATATGATGAAGGGGAGATAAAGACGGATATTAATGATTATCACTAGTAGAAAGTGATGTTTAATCTATATCGAGTTATAAACACATTTTCATTAATTTTATATTAGTTGTTTGAATCGTTCCATTTATTGTTAGGACTGTAATTGGCCAATCTCTTATTGGTATATGTACATTCTATACGGATTGTCTCGATATTTGCCATTAAGTCACTAAGATTATAAGCAGAGTTGGATGATAGCTAGAAATGGAATCTAGCACACGTGTGGCGGCGTGAATCTGTTGTCTGAAGAAAGACTTCTCAACCTTGAGTATGTGGATGATATTGTTTTACTGTGCGATAATACCCAAGCCATGCAATCCGTACTTAATCAGTTGGCAATCAATGTCCGTAGGTACGGTATGTGCTTTGTACCTGTTAATTGCAAAGTACTTATACAAGACTGCCAAGACCCTGATCCTGTACTCACCCTGGATGGTGAGCAGAAGTCCGTGTATCTAGGTAGACGATAAGTGCTGTTGGGGGTGTGAGTGATGAGATCAATGTACGTATAGTGAAAGCCAGAGAGGCTTATGCCAATCTAGACCAACTTTAGCGCCTTCATGATGTCAGTACGTCAGTGAGAGCAGTTTTGCTGTATGCTTCTGAAATCTGGTATCTCAGAGTTGAGGATGTTTAACAACTCTCTGTGTCTGACCATCGTCGTCTCCGAAGGATTGCTGACATCCAGTGGCAACACCATGTTAGTAATGCGGACGTTCAGCATCGTGTGTTTGGACACAGAGACGATAATTCAGTTAGTTTCACTACCTTGAAACATCGACTTCGGTGGCTTGAATATGTTCTAGGAATGTTGTCCCAGAGAATTACACGTCGTTCATTATTTACCGACACTGGGACTGATTGGAAAAAGCTGAGAGGTTGTCAGTGTATGACATGATGTTGCGGTATAGAAGAAAGCTGTGCAGGACTGACTTATATCGGTCCTTCGCAACTCCCTGGTTGGGGTCCTAGAGATGGTGTAACACAGTGACTAGAGACGTTATCAGATATGGCTCAGAATAGAAGCCGATGGAGATCCTGCTGTAACTTTATTTTACTTTCTTCATAAAAAAGACGTAACCTCTTTAAGTGGAAATATTCTCTCTGGCTAATTGGACTGTCTCTCCCATTATAATCATTTCACTATCATACACTAATTTTTGTTCGTTATTGTAACCCTTTTTCTTATACTCACCTTACATTCTTTATATTCTTCATATTCGTATTATTATTGTGTGGCGCATATGTATCTGGTGCTACTTTGTACGAAGATTCATGTGTTCAAACAAAAAAATTAGGTCGAAATCTCCGAGTATGGTCCCCTAAGAGAACCACCTGCTTCGGTTTGGACACCCAGGCATTATCATATCCCACATTCAAATCAAGTGACTTGTGTGGTATATATATATATATCTGGTGCCCCCCTCCTTATACCAATATTCATATGTTCGAATAATCAGTAATAATAATAATAATAATCTAACATTAATTAATTCCTTTTCTTCCTACTTGTTTTACTCTTTTTACTTATTTCAGCGGTAACATGTGTACCTTGTGAACAAGCAATTACTTTAGAAAATATTGCCAGTAGTTATTGTATGGCTGATGTAGGTGAGTATTTATTGATTGCTTTTTTCCCACGTAATCTTTGAGGATTTAATATATGGATATGATTCTGAAAGGAGGGGAGGGAATGGAATTACTGGAAACTATGTCATGTTATATAATTGTGTCAGTCCATTTTGACGCTTACATTTACTTACGCCTGTTACTCCTTGTGGAAGAATATAGGCCATCTACCAGCACTCTTTATCCAATCCTGTCGTGGACAATTCTCTCCAGCTCTTCTTTCAGGCTTACATGAAATTCATTAAAATGATAATTTTATGATTGTGGACATTTATTTTATTATCCTTTTTAATTTAAACAGTTGAGATCATGAGTCAATTGAAGCTAGACCACTATGGAAAACCCGGAAGAACTGGACGGTCGTTTCGTCCTATTGCGGGACTCCTCAGCAGTGCTTATTCACGATCCCGCACCTCGCGAGATTCGAAACCAGGACCTATCAGTCTCGCACCAGGCGCTTAACCAACTAGACCACTGGGCCGGCATTAAACGGTGTTAATGTTTAGCTTCAACTAATCCACGAAATTGAGCGACACATCCACCATTATCATCAGTGAGTTACTACTTCACAACTGACTCGGTTGAACTCCACTGGTCACTGCTTCTCACTAGAACTCCAGGATATATAACTTGAAGCCAGTCTACTGCTTCCAGGTTTTCCACGGTGATCTAGCTTCAACTGACTCATGATCTCAACTGTTTAAATTACTACAATCTCCACAAAAACCCTTCTGATACTTATCCTTTTTAATTGTAACAATGATGATTAGGAGATAAACTAGTCGACTGTATACACGTGTATACCCGTCACTTATCACTGAAAACCTTCACTAATTAACTGAGTTATAATTAGAATGAAGGTTTGTGGAGATTGTAGTGATTGAATGAATGTTAGACAACCATTGAAAACCTAGGAATACTGAACGACCATTTCATTCTAGAATGTAACTCCTCAACAGTGGATATCGACGATCTCACACTTAACGGACTCGAATCCAGGAACTTCGGTCTCATTCGCAAACGCTTAATCTCTAGAACATTGAAGTTGACAGCATCTAAGTATGTTAGTGTCTAATTTCAATCGATTTATTATTTTGTTGAACTTTTCTTCTATTGTTTGAGGTAAATACCTGAGTTATAATTGACAGATGCTGTAAGATAATCTTCCTAAAGCTTTCATTGTAGATTACCAACTAACTATGGTAACTGAATGCTTAATCAAAGGTATGAAAAGTTGTTGAAAGTTACTGAACACTATTACTAATTAAGTAGTAATATATAACTTAATGTAATAGTAGTTTAGTATTTCAGTTTGTCACTTCTGTGTTTTATCAATCCAGCTTTACAATTGAGAGTAATTATTTTCTTAATTATTTAACCATTTAGAGAGCGAGGATTTGTTAAGAATGTAGTCATTTTAACAGTTGAATTCATGAATCAATCTAAGCTTGACTACCATTGAAAAGCACTAAACGACTGTCTCGACCCAGTTGGATGACAGTTCAGTAGTACTGAGATTAAGAGTTGACGTGTGAGATCGAAGGTACTGGGTTCCAGTCCTTTTTGTGTAGGATCGTGGATGTGCACTTATTTTCTCTAATTATAACCCAATAAGGGTTGAAGATTGCTAGTCGGCGGCTTATGCTCCATTGGGAGTAACAGGCATAAGTAAGGAATAACCTAGTAGTTACATAACATAAATGACTATCAGAATGTAAGTAACATTGAAATAGATCGTATGTAAAATCTATGCATAAACATGAATGAATGAACTTGGTTTAATAAATCAATCAGGAAGTCATTATAGAATATAATTGAATTCTAGTAAATGTCAAACGAATTAAAGGTGCATTGCTAATTATTATAACCCTTAACTATGATCTTTGCTGAATTTTATGTTATTATTTATTTAAACACATGAACATTGGTACAAGAGGGTACATAAATCATTCGATTGGTGTTAGGGCTGGGATACTGCCTCGATGCTCAGACTGAACCAGGTGGTTTTCTCAGAGGGCCATGCCCAGAGTCTTTGACCTGATACACAATTCAGTGGAGCAAGTTCAGTAGATGCAGCCAATGATCAACAATAAGTTCATACGTCATTTGTTTACTCAGGATTCTGGAGTTCATCTGCACCATTTATTTGAAATCAGGGTTTTACAAATCGCCTAGATGGATCCTCTATATCCACTAACCCGATTAAAGCGCCGGATATTCAATTTTTGTCTTCTCAACTCCGTAAACAACAGCCCTGCCACGAGAAGGTAATGAGTAGGTCTTCCCTGTCAATGATTGTATGCACTTGGCTATGTGAGAGCATTTAGAGAGGGAGAGATAACTCTCCTCAATCTCGGCCATACCAGGACTCTTTTTTAATACTCAACCACTATCATATACTGGATTAAACCCAAAGTCCTACCTGTCTTGTAGAAACACTGAAATCTCCAAGATGTTAAGTTTATCATTGAATTCTTAATAATATCAATCGGTAAACTAGGAAAAAACTTCATCCAATGGTATCATGCTATTGTTCAGAAGAACGATAAAAACTTTACAACCAAATCATCCAGCTCAGAGAACAAAACTCCATCAAAATCATCTACCTGAGCTACAAATCTTCCCCACCATCTCAATATCGTAACTATATTAATCTTATACACATAAATAATCAAATAATCTATTTATTGATTTATCGATTTATTGATTGATTGGTTGATTGATTTTGTTTAGTTCTTAAAGCTTCTGTCAAAGATATGAGTTTACAACCGAATCAAGCATCAATCATATTAAATTTAACACCAAGAACTTTAGCATTAAAATTAATACGTAATGATGGTACACAATTAAGTAATATTGATCAATATCGTCGTAAACGAAATAGTCGAAGAACAAGAACAAAAAGAAGAAGAAGAAGAAGACGTAATCACTTGAATAATCATAATAATGAACTGGATCCAATGTATCAATTAAGAACAAGAAGAGAATTGAAAGTACTCAGACAAAATCAATACAAGTCAAAATTAATCAATGTCAATGAAGGACTTCATCATCATCATCATCATCATCAAAGAATTGAATCTAAGACTAAAATAAAACGACATCGACAACCAAGAAATTCACAATTACATGATTTAGATGGTATTAATGAATTAATTTTAAGTTGTTCATCATGTAATCCATTATTACCATTTATAAATGGACATTTCACTTCATCATTATCAAATCAAAAATGGCTTATTATGGGTAGACGTATACAAGATTCAAATACAAAAAAATATACGAATCAATTACAAGTAAGTAAATTGTTAAAAGTTTCTTATATTCCATTGCTTGAAATCAAGAGTCCATTGAAGCTAGACCATCAGTCTCGCGAACGAGATTGATAGGTCTTGGATTTGAATTTCGCTGTGGGAGGGGGGGCGAGATCATGGATACACACTGCTAAAGAGTCTCACAATAGGACGAAACGACCATCCAGTGGCTTCCAGGTTTTCTATGGTGGTCTAGCTTTAATTGACTCATGATTTCAATCAGTGAAATTTCTAAAAAAAATCTTCACAAAACCTCTTCTGATTCTTTCTTATATTCGTTTATAATGCTTATAACTTAAATCAAATATCGATGCAGTCCTTACAAGATGTATATAGGCCAATAAGAGACTGATCAATTGAAGTCTTAAACATCAATAAGAAGATATAAACAGACAATACCAGAGTTGATATCCAATCTGGGACTCGAAGCCAGTACCGTTTGCTTCAAACGTCATTGTATTATCCACTTAATTACTGAGTTCAAAATAGGACGAAACGGGCGTTCTGAATTCTACTGCTAGCCATTATCTATCTTTGCATATAATGCTTGTGAATTAAGGCAATATCGAAGTAATCCGTACAGAATACATATATGCTAATAAAAGACTGATCAATTGCAATCCTAAACATCAATGTGAAGATTGAAATAAACAATCAAAAATGAATTTAAACTTCACCCCCCATTGCACAAGCTAGTGGTTATTTGAACTCAATAGTTAAGTGGATAACGCGATGGCGTTTGAAGTGATCAATGCTGGGTTAGATTTTTAGAGTGGACATCAACTCTACGATAAAGATACATTCAGTTGACGAGTTCCAATTAGGAGGAAGTGGCTTGTATCCTGCATTCCACTACTAATCACCATAAATCTTTGCTTTGTTTATATAGATTTAAATCATATTACTATATAGGAGGTCTTTGAATGTTAGACTTTCTTCTTTGTAAGAATTATAACCTTTTCTTCTGGATTCTTATGCTATTGAAATCAATTGTATGACCCTATTCTATTGAGTGTAATGCTATCGCTTTCAGCATAGTTTGTATTCCTTCACTCTCACATTCAGTTGTCTTAATATTTCACCTACATATGTGACATTCGATTTCTTAAACACAATTCTGTTGTTCCTCCTTGTATATTGAATCTTTGATTCTTACCAGTTTGCATGTTAGAGGATTTTTTTTTCGAAAGAATTCTCCTTTTGATCTCTTCTGAAATCGATTATAAAAAGACGATATTCAACGAATCTATGGAACTTTCGATTTACATTTTTGACTGATGTATATTTGAATAATAATCTTCGCTATGAATTAAAGCTTTCTGATTGATGCGTCGGTACCTACTGTTGAAGAGTAGCATGAAACAAGTATTAACATCTAATTTGAAACTATTGTATTGGTTACTTAAAAAGTTCATATTCTAATAGTTGAGGTCATGAGTCAATTGAAGCTAGACCACCATGGAAAACCTAGAAGCACTGGACGGCCGTTTCATCTTATTGTGAGACTCCTAGCGAGATTTGAAACCAGCACCTTTCATTCTTCCAGGTTTTCCAATGGTGATCTAGCTCCAACTGACTTATAAATTCAACTATTGAAATTACTATAATATCCACAAAAACCCCTTCCAATATTAATCAATATATGCTCACTAGTGACTGGCTTCAAGAGGTATTTTCTGGAGTTCTAGTGAGAAACAGTATCTAGTAGAGTTCAGTCGGGTCTGTCGTGAGATAGTAATTCACTGAAGACAATAGAGGATGTTTCGCCCAATTTCTTGGATGAGTTTAAATTAGACATCAACACAGTTGGACGCCGGCTCAGTGGTTTAATGCTTAAGTGCTCACGCACGAAAACGATAGGTTCTGGGTTGAAATCTCGTGAATCTGGATCATAAATGCGCACTGCTGAGCGGTCACACAATAGGATGAAACAGCCGCCCAGTACTTCCTGATTTTCCATGGTGGTACTATTTTCAATTAACTCATGATTTCAACTATTCACAAAACCCCTTCTCCTCAAAACTAGTTAGTTCTAGGTTCAACATTTTGTTAAATAAGATTTGTTCATTGTTGTATAGTTTCATAATAAGATAAAAACAACTATTCAATACCCTTTTGATTAGTAATGTAATAAGACAATCTTCAACTTACATGAAATCTTCATATAATCACTTATAAACTGTAATTGAGATGGTAGAAAACACTTAAAGCTCATTTAGATTGTTTCAATGGACTTTAGTTCTTTGAATTGGATGATTTTGTCATGGAGCTTTCATCAGTTTATGTTGATGAAATTGTTTAGAAGAACAATAAAAACTTTATACTAGTATAGGGGTTGTGGAGATTATTAAGTTTTTGATTGAGATCATGTACCGATTGATGTTAGACCATCACAATTGAAAACCTGGAAGCACTGGACGGCCGTTTCGTCCTATTGTGGGACTCCTCAGCAGTGCGCATCCACGATCCCTCGCCGAAGGGACTCGAACTCAGGGCCTTCGGTCTCGCACGCGAACGCTTAACCAACTGGACCACTGAGCCAGCGTCCATTGGTGATAGTTTCTAACATCAACCAATCCATGAAATTGCGCGACCAACTTCCGTTGTACTGAGGTAGATACCTGTCTCTACCCGACAAGGTTTTCAATTGTGATGGTCTAACATCAATCGGTTCATGATCTCAATCAAAAACTTTATAACCAAACTATTCATCTTAGTGAATAAAACTTCATCAATAACAAAAACCAAAATGTTTCACTACCTCATTAGTTTAATACAAGGAACACAAAACAGACATTTAATCTTTTCAAACAAACATACACACATACATACATCACACATACACACACACACAGGGATAGACTGTTGTGAAATGAAAATTGTCACTTTTAATATTTTCAAGTTTCCTACTGTGATTTAACCGTGATTCAATTTAGTTATCATTCACCGCAGGGATTCATTTAAGTCTCTATTCTAATGGTATATTCGTTTTATTAAGTATGAATGATTATGTAATAGATTTATTTCGTATATTTCATTATGATTAGAAAGGGAATATTTTGTGGAGATTATAATAATCTATTAATTGATTTTATGAGTCAATTGAAGTTAGACCACCTAGTAGCACTGGATGGTTGTTTCGTCCTATTGTGGGACTCCTCAACAGTGAGCATCCACGATCCGGCACCTCGCAAGATTCGAACCCAGAACGTATCGGTCACCTGCACAAACGCTTAACCTCTAGACAAATGAAAATGTTAGCGTCCAACGGTGTTAATGTTTAACTTCAATCAATACATGAAATTGATCCACATATCCACTATTGACTTCAGTAAGTTACTATCTCAAAACTGACCCGGTTGAACTCCACCAGTCAACGGTCACTGCTTCTCACTAGAACTCTAAGAAATATCTCTTGAAGCCAGTTTCTAGTGAACATATGATGATATTTATCAGAAGGGGTTTTGTGGTGATTCTAGTAGTTTTATGGTTGAATTCATAAGTCAATTAAAGCTAGATCGTTATGAAAGCACTGAACGGCCATTTCATTCTAGCATTGGACTTCTCAGCAATGCACATCCAAAATCCCACTTCACAGGACTCGAACTCGAGGTCTTATGATCTCGCACGTGAACGCTTAACCATTCGACTACTGAAATTGCCGGTATCTAATGGTGTTAATGTCTAACTGCAACCAATCCATGAAATTGAGGTAGAATTGGGAATATGTATAAAATCATCCAGTTATTAATGAATGAACGCAATACCAATGTTCAATGGACTTCAATGATTAAAATCAATTAGTTATCTTTATAAAATCTATTAACATGAATATTTTTACATGAAAGAACCTGATTTGAATATTCACTCTCAAGATGATTAACCGAGTTGAACAATATCAAACTAGGGATAAATCCACTTGGTATGGCTTACTTGAATCATCCCTTTCGATGTTTAGGACTGCACTTGATCAGTCTCTTATTGGTATATGCGAATATTGTGTGTATTGCATCGATATTGTCTTAATTCACAAACATTATAAGCAAAGATTTAAGTAAACAATACCAAGTGAATTTAAACTTCACCCTATTGCACAAGCAAGTGGCTATCTGGACTCAGTAGCTAAGTAGATAATGTGATGGCATTTGAAGTGAACGATACTGGGTTCGAGTGATGGAATGAACATCAACTGTGAGATACACATACATCCAGATGACGATTCTCAAACAGGACAAAACATGCTTCTTGGATTCTACTGCTAGCCACCATCCATCTTAGATTACAAACTAGGGATATTTTCCACCAGGAAATGAAATCATGGCGAGACTATGGTTTATGGACGAACCAATAAAAGTTACGATTAAAAGTCTTGAATTTTGGCGCGAAGTTCATTCATTTGACTAAATAGACTTTTGTTATTACGGCTGATGTCAGTTCGTTATGAAAAGTCTATATTTGATTCTTAACCCTAACTATCAACCGTTAATATTAATTCTAATTCTTTACACTGGTTTATAATCCTCATTTAGACGTATTCCTTAGGTGGACATTCTCAAGGTGTCTTTAACGTCACACAAATGTCGTCCATAAATTATAATTCCACCGAAATCATTTCTATAAATATTTTCTACTACTACCTTTAAGCGCTATACAATTCCCTAGTCACAAATCAAACAACAATTAAACTCAACTGACTTAAACAATTTAAAATACATATCAGAAGGGTTTTTGTGGATATTATAGTAATTTCAATGATTGAAGTTAGACATTAACACCATTGGATGCTGGCTCAATGGTCTAGAGGTTAAGTGTTCACGCACAAGACTGATAGGTCCTGGTTTCGAATCTCGCGAGGCAGGATCGTGGATGCGCACTGATAAAGAGTCTCACAATAGGACGAAAGGGCTATCTAGTGCTTCCAGTTTTCCCATGGTGGTGTAGCTCCAATTGACTCATGCTGTCAACCATTTAAATTTAAAAAAACATTCATTTTTTATCAGAAAGGTGTTTCTGTAGAGATTTTAGTAATTATAAGAGCTAAATTCATGAGTCAGTTAAAACTAGACCACCATAGGAAACGTATAAGTACTGGATATTTATTTCGTCCTAGTATGGGGCTCCTCAGCAATATGTACCCACGATCTCACCCAACAAGATTCGAACCCAAGACGTATCGGTCTCGCACGTGTGAACAGTCTTCATTTCATAATACAAACAAATGTTAATTTCACAAGGGGTTTTTGTGGATATTGTAGTAATTTCAATACTAGAGATCATGAGTCGATTTAAGCTAGACCAATATAGAAAACCTGGAAGTACTAGACAGCCGTTTCGTCCTATTGTAAGGCTCTTCGTCAAGGATGATCCGTGTCGAGTAGAGACAGGTATCTACCTCACTAAAATGGAATATGGTCGCGCAATTTTGTGGATTGGTTGAGGTTAGACATTAACACCGTTGGATACCGGCTCAGTAGTCTAGTAGGTTGAGCGTTCGTGCGCGAATCTCGCAGATGTGGGATATTGGATGCTCATCGCTGAGTAGTCCCACAATAGGACGAACTAGTCATCCGGTGCTTCCTTATTTCCAACGGTGGTCTAACATCAATCAGTTCATGATCTCAATCAAAAACTTAAATAATCTCCACAACCTCATACTAATCTTAGAATGGTTAGTTTTATGTTTCATCATTTTCTGAAGAAAAAAAAGAAAGAAGGAACCAAACAAACAAACAAATAAATAAACAAAGAATTCAATTTCTTATTCTACAATTATAATCTGTCAAAATTCAATAATCGATCCACCTTTATTCTTTGGTATGTTTCAATGATCTGCATTATTATTATTATTATTATTATTATTATTATTTACATTGAAAACAGACATGGATACATATGGCTTCTTTATGAAATGTTCCCTATGATAAATGTTTTTTTCTTTATTTTTACCTTTTGCTAATTCAAAAGAAGGATGAAAATGTCAATATGTATGTAAGTAGGTATCCCCCACTGTGTGTGTACGTGTGTGTGTGTGCGTGTGCGTGTGCGTGTGCGTGCGTGCGTGTTTGTAAAGACGGAGGGGGGAGTGGAAAGGCGGTAAATAGACAACAATATAAAAAAGAACGAAGAAATTAGTAGACAAATGTTAAATGACTAGTACAAATTAGAATTACAAAGACAATAGAAAAGGTTATTAGACCGAATATCGAATTAAAAACTACAAAAAACAAACAATTCACCTGCCAATTATAGAGTAATGGATTGAAACCCTGGAAGAAAAGAAGAATGGAATGTGAATATGAAGTGTTTTGTTGTTGTTAGTTTGATGAGTAGTAATCTAGTAACTAGTTTAAAAGTATTATGTCATGAATGATTTTTCGTCTGACTAGTTGCCTACCAATCAATCAGTCAGTCAGTCAGACCGCCCGTCCACCCGCCCGCCTATCTCATTCACTCGTTCTTTCTTTCAGATGTAATAATTAGTTGATCAGAGTAAAACAATTTTCATTCTTTCGTAAATTCTAATAGTTATAATGACGAAGATTGTAAGTTGATTACACATATCCTCCTTGAATTCCTAGATAATAATAATGAAATTCTGATTCAGTAGTATCAGTGATGAAATACCTTATGATTGATTATAGATTTATATATGATATATACAAAATATCACCTTTCTATCCATTGTAATTTATCTGAACTCATTTAATATTTATCAGTATAAGTTTGTGAAGATTGTCGAGTTTCGATTGAGATCATGAACCGATAAATGTTAGACGTGAATTGAAAACTTGGAACTACTGGATGGCTATTTCGTCTTATTATGGGACGTCTCAGCAGTGTGCATTCAGGATCCTGCCAACCGCGAGATTGGAATCCACAACCTACTGATCTCACAAGCGAACGTTTAACACCTAGACCACTGTCTGGCTTCAAGAGGTATTTCCTGGAGTTCTAGTAAGAAGCAGTGACCAGTAGAGTTCAACTGGGTCTGTTGTGAGATGATAACTCACTAAAGACAATGGTAGATGTGTCGCTAACTTCATGGATTAGTTGAAGTTAGACATTAATACCGTTGGATGCTAACAAGTTCAGTGATCGAGAGGTTAAGCGTTCTCACGAGAGGTCGAAGGCCCTAGGTTGGAATCTCGTGAGGCAGGATTGTGGAGTCGCACTGCCGAGGAATTCCACAATAGGACAAAACGGTCATATTGTACGTCCAGGTTTTCCATGGTGGTCTAGCTTCAATTGACCTCAACTATTAAAATTACTATAATATCCACAAAACTCCTTCTGATATTTAATCTGTATTCCTAATTTTTCAGGTAACTTTCTTAGGTTTATGGAATCGTGAATCAATTGAATTTCGTCAATCATTGAATGCTATTCGTAAAGAATCAGCATCACATTTATGTAATAAAAATCAAGCAAGTCTATCTAATCTAGTTCAACCACAAACTATACAAAATCATCATCAACAACATCTTGGGAGACCATTAAAAATTCTACGTTCAGCTCCATCTGAATTATCTGATTCACCAAATTATAATGAATTCAATAAACCATTATCTAAATTAAATCTAAAAACTAAATTAAACAACCATCACAATTATCATTATCCATCTCATTTATCTACAAATCAGAATACTACTAATAATGATTTCAGTAGTCATTTTAATCTTGAATTAAATAATGCACAAACTACTTATTTAAATGAAATTCATCAATTACAAAGACAACATCAACGACCACAACAACAAAGAACACACAAATCAAAGTTTCGTGAGCGTAGAAAAAAATGGAAATCATCAACAGACAGAGTTTTGTTGAAACCTAATTCACAAAATCAATATGATACTAATCTTTATGGTTATCAATCACCAATAAATCCTTATTCGGATTAAACAAACCTTCCAGTTTTATATTCTGGTTTGATGTGTCATAACTATCTATCATTAGTTAAATAATTAGACTCTTATATACAGGGTTCTTATAAAGTTAACCTTAACTTAATACCTACAAACAAGTTCATATATATATTCCCCACCCCTTCCTTCGATTTGTTTGTATTATTACTGTTGTTGTTGATATTCTCATTCATTGTTGAATAACAACTTCATAAAATGAAGACATTATGTACACATTCATACATACCTACACCCCATATAGTAATTTTTAATGCACATTTATATCGAATTTAGAAGAGTATAGAAGGAATATATTTGCCACAAGTTAAATAAATTCGTTATAAAGAATTACACTACTTAATTAGAAATATTAGTAGTTAAATTATTGTATCAAAACAAAACTTTGCTTCTATCAAATTGTTTGTCTTCTTTTTTTGGTTGCTACCTCATTATCATTATCCAACGTATACATATATACATATAATAATTTCAATTGATTTGTTTACCTTCAAATAAACTTTGAACGTTTTTCGCACAAACCATATCATTGTAAATTATAACATATAACTCTAACAATAAAATGAAGGATATTTTCTAAAAAAATTTTTTTTTCAGTTGAAGGGAACCATATTAACATCAAATGACAATGAAAGACGAGATAAGAAGCTTGAAAGTAGATCATTCAAATTGTATTACACATTTAATAGTTCAGCATTAGAATATTCACTTTACAATTCCTTCCTTCCTTCCTTCCTTCCTTCCTTCCTTCCTTACTTACTTACTTACTTACTTACTTACTTACTTACTTACTTACTTACTTACTTACTTACTTAGGCCTGTTACTCCCAATCGAGCATAGACCGCCGGTCAGCATTGTCCAACCCAATCTGCCCTCAATCATATTGAAAATCTATAATCTTACTAAAATCACATTTTTGTGAATTGATAAGTTTGGTTTTCTTCATTGTGATTGTCATTACTTTCATGACAAAGACTGTCAGGGAAGTCCTACACACTGCCTTCTCGTGAAAGGGGTGTTGTCGACGAAAAGCGAATGTCCGGTGCTTTAACCTGGTTCGTGGATACGAAGGATCCATATAGGTGAGTTGGAAACCCCTGATTCAAAATCAGTTGTGCATAAGTGCTCCAGGATCTTGAGGAATCGATTAGCGTATGAACCAATTACTGGTCACCGACTATCACGAGACTACTTCTCCTAACGTTGTTCCACTGCCTTGTGGATCAGACCTTTAAGTTGAAGGCTCCGAGTGTGGCTCCCTATGGAAACCACCTGCTTCGGTTTGAGCACCCGGGCAGCGTCACAACCTACACACAAATCAAGTAACTTGTGTGGCGCACATGTATTCGGTGCTCTTTTGTACCAATATTTATGCGATCAAATAAATAAATAAATAATACAACTTAGTAACATCTGAGAGCCATACAGTAAATACTACGTGTGTAAAGTGTCAATCAGTCGTCTCAGAATTCATTGTTCTTTCGTCTCCACACCAATAATTCTCTCTTCTCCTTCTCTCCTTTCTAATCTTCTTAACCTACTGCCACCAAACATTTCATTTTCGAATGATGACATACTACTTATGTCTATCGATATCAGTAGTACACACCGCAATGTGTTAATTCAATTTTAATTTAACATATTATATGACGCCAGTAGTTACAAATGATTTATCTAATGCAATCAATATTCAATGTATGTATAGAAAACTTTCAAATATAAAGGACTCAGTAGCTGAGTGGATAACGCGATGGCATTTGAAGCAAGTGATACTGGGTTCGAGTCCCAGAGTGAACATCAACAAGTCTTAGATGCAGGCATATCCAGTTGACGAATCCCAAATAAGACGAAACGCGCGTCCTGGATTCTAGCCACCACCAATCTTTGCTTATAAAGCTTTGTGAATTAAGGCAATATCGAGGCAATACACACAGTATGCACATATGCCAATAACAGACTGATTAATTGCAGTCTTAAACCTCAATAGGAAGATACAAGCAAACAATATCAAGTGAATAAAGGTATTTTGATGAAAACGTTTCTTAAATTGGTGTTATCTAATAAAAAAAGTGAATTTATAGGCAGAGATTAAGAATCAATTATAATAGTAAATATTATTCGATCATTGGTAAACATTCTAATCGATCGATGGATGAATTTATCCAAGTTTACCTAGTAATTGATTTATGATTGATATGAATAATGAAATAAAGAAGACATAGCGAACCATAGAAATTATTATTTGATGCATTTGTTCGCCAAATTTGGAGCTTGTATAATGTTAATATTTAGTTTATTCTATAAACCATAAGCAGGTGGGTATTAGTTAAGTGGATAACGTGATGGTGTTTGAAGCGAATGATATTGGGTCGGAGTCCTAAAGTAAACATCGATTATGAGATGCAGGTACATCCAGTCAGTCAGTCAGTCAGTCAGTCAGTCAGTCAGTCAGTCAGTCAGTCAGTCAGTCAGTCAGTCAGTCAGTCAGTCAGTCAGTCAGTCAGTCAGTCAGTCAGTCAGTCAGTCAGTCAGTCAGTCAGTCAGTCAGTCAGTCAGTCAGTCAGTCAGTCAGTCAGTCAGTCAGTCAGTCAGTCAGTCAGTCAGTCAGTCAGTCAGTCAGTCAGTCAGTCAGTCAGTCAGTCAGTCAGTCAGTCAGTCAGTCAGTCAGCTACAACGTACGATCAGGCATATATATGCATCCGTCCAAGTTGCCATACCGCATTAGCACAACAAGATCATAGAAATAATCACTTCAATCGTAGTAATCTATAAAAGAAAGAGTGCATAAAAGCATATAATATAGGAAGAAAGAAGTATTTGGTAGAAAGGAAGATATAAAGTAATTTTAATCTCACGGTTTAAGGGAAGACGAAGAGTGATCGATCTTGAGCCATGTCACTCAAAGTCTCCAACCATTGGTTACGATAGTCACGTGGACCCAAGCCAAGTAGTCTGCATCTACCAACATGGCTCAGACTAGAAGTTAGTAACCCAAATGACTGATGCCAAATCTTGGTTTGGCTGCCGCTAACTTTCTTCCAACCATCCCCAACACCAGTTAGCACTGCGCGTCGTAGTAATCGGTGTTCAGGCATACGCAACCATCTCGGTCGATGAAGATTCACAACCTAATCGACTGATTTACCATCATTCCTTAATACCCTACGTCTAACCTCACTATTACTTACTCGATGATCCCAGCAGATGCCAGCAATATTTCTAAAACATCTACGGTCAGTTACTAGTAGCTTACGAATATCTTCTACTCTTAGTGGCCACATTTTGCAGCCGTAAAGTAAAACAGAACGAACTGCCGCATAGTATATTCGTTCCTCAGCTGATAGACGGACATCTTGCCTTCGCCATAGGTGATGTAATTTGGCAAAAGCCAAATGAGTTTTTCGAATCCGTGCAGAGATTTCGTCAGACACCGACCCAGTAGGGCTGATCAGACTTTCAAGATAAGTGAAGTTGTCAACGCGTTCGACTACTTCACTCTCTATCCTTAGTTCAGACAGGTACATCCATCTGACGAATTCCACTGCTAGCCACTGTGCATCTTTGCTTGTAACCTTTGATACACCATTTCTCTACCATAGCGCTTAATATGTATATAATTATGTTGTTTTGATTATTTGTGCGTTGTGATCGTATTTGTCATCGTTTTATTCATATACCTCCGAAGTGCGAATCAGGAATGAATCGATTATTGTCCCAGTTGACTAGTTTTCTCACACGCAGTCTCGCTTGTCAATCAATCAAATGATAGAATAATTTCCACCACTTTATCCAAAGCTGTCAATCTCAATTCGGACTGAGGTATTTCTAGCCTCAAGGTTGAAGCAGTTAGCCTGTTGCGTCGAACCCTTAACTTAGATCAAGACAAGTTCTCTCCCGTATATTATTGAGCTGACAGATCAAGGACATAACAATGGCGTTTTGATTGTTATCATATATAAACAACATATTTATGAGAATTGTTATGTATAAATTCTGTAGTAAATTTTTTACTATTGTATTACTATTCTATCATTGAGAAACGAAACTGCCATTCAGTGCTTCCGAGTATGACCTTCTAAGGGAACCACCTGATTCGGTTTGAGAACCTAGGCAATATCATAGCCTTCACACGAATCAATGATAACTGTTACTGGCTTCATTGTTACTGTATGGTGCATGTGTATTTGGTTCCCCCTTGTACCAATCTTTATATGTTCATATGTGCATATGTGCATACTAATCATATTGCCTTAAGTCACAAGCTTTATAAACAAAGATGGATAGTGGCTAGCAACATGATGACGTTTAAAGCGAACGGTACTGGGTTCAAGTCCCAAAGTGAACACCAACAAGTCTGAGATGCAGGTACATCCAGTTGACGAAGACCAAATAAGACGAAGTGGATTCCACTGCTAGCCACTATCTATCTTTGAATATGTCCAATCTCAATTGTTTATAATATCAGAAAAACATATTATGATGATTCATTAACGACCGTCATTTACTATAGTTAATGTTCAAAATGTTTACCTTTAACTAAAGTGCATGGTTGAAAGCATTCACATTATTCATACGACCCTTATTGACTAATTATGAATGGTTAAGTTCAGTTTGAGTTGATGTTAATTAATGATTCGAGTAGAATGTAGGTTGCTGATATCCTTTAATTCTAATAATTGAATACATGAGTCAATGTAAGCTGGGCCACTATGGACCACTTTGAAGCATTTGATGACCGTTTTGTTGTAATATGGAACTCCTCAGCACTGTGACTTTATTGAGATACATATGTTAAGCTAAATATCACATACTTATTAGCTTGATATTTTTTATTTATAAATGTTAAAAGTTACTTGGCAGTAAAGTCTAACCTAAGGCCTTCTCGTGGCGTTGCTCGATAGTGGGGGCAACCCTGTTAGATCGAATTGATCACTTACTCTGTTGTATCTGATCAATTTTCGGTTCTATACTCGAAGCTTATTTTAATGCTCGGGCGACCAGTTGTGTATGTATTAGAAATGCAGAAGTTCTTGGACTTATGATTTCAAGTATATAAGTATATGCAACGGGTACGCATGTTGTGTCGTACTAAGGAACCGTTGATCTGCAAAAATATCTGCCCTATGTCTTATAAAATCAGCGACCTATCTACCCGGTCGAAGACAATAAAAAATGGTGGTAACAAATACTAGGGTGAGGCGATCAACAACCTCCTCTAAGAGAATGCCTAGGCTTATGTGTGTATCAGGAAATACTGGGGCGGTAGCTATAGGCCGACTGATATGAATGTAATGTGTAAGAGACAGTCTGATGTAGCAAATATGTTTTCTTTGAGAGTGGTGAACATATATCCTCCCAGGTGGGTGAATATACTTATGTGTATACTATAAGATGCATGGGGTAAAACCTATGTATTACCGGTGTGCATGTAACGTATATTTGTTCACAGGGCATGTATACTAAGTGATACTCGGATGAAAGTTCATGTTTTAACTAGTATACAAGTAAACTATACATATCCAGGTCAAGTAAATACTCAAACATCTTTACTTGTTCTTTCGGTACGATACCACTGTA